ACCCAGATTCCCTCGATCAACAACGCCTGCGTTCTGCTATTGTTGCTGTATTAGAAAATTTATGAACCTAGGACTAGGCAGCCAATCAAAGACGTGCTCACACTAAGACCGAACGTTGATTGGCGGGATTAAAAACACATTGAAATACCCAAATATTACTGGACTTTTGACGTCAGTTGAGAATGTCGAGGTGCGTATGGCCTGCTTCAGGTTCATTTTGTTTTCGTGTGGGCTCGGAGTGAGTCACGGCCTCAGTCTGCTGACGATGGAGGCGGTGGTGGTGGTGGTGGGGGAGGGGTGGGAAGGAGGCCCTATGGAGCAGATGATCTAGGCTGTCGCCAAAGTGGTTCGCACATCTGGTTGCTTTCGCACGTGCGTGTGCACGTGTGCGAGGTTGTTGCATGCGCAAACACACACACACACACAGGAACCGTTTTTCTAAGTGGTCGAAAGTTTCGTGCACTAAAAACATCCGTCAGAACAAGTTCCTGGCGTGGAATGAAGACGCAGTGGCTCAAAATTTCCCGGCCGACAATTCGCTGGACAGGGTTGATGGATTGTTGGCGCTGCCATGGTAACGAAAAGTACTTATTTTAATCATTAGGAGGTTGCAGGATTTTGCAGATGGCCTTCATGAGCAGGGATGATGGATTCACATGCCTAAACAACGACCAATCGCGTGGTTCTGGCCGCTAAACGTCAATAAGCTTGCAACGTTGTGATTGGTGGATCGGATCAGGCGTCATTTCGCTTGGAGATCACTCATCTAGACATAACGCTACTGCTAGAAGACATTCTTGGAGATTTCGTGAAACTGCCTCATCAAAAGGGAACTACAAGGCGCGCCAATTCAAATATTTCATCCCCGCCGAGCACACATCCCATTGGTTCATTGCACTTTGAATGCGCTATTTCACTACCGTCAAGGTCACCCAGTAAATTGATTACACCGATCTGTCGGGATATTAAAGCCTGTTGGGCTAGTTGAAAATGAGCGTGGAAGTGGGAGAAATCGCGCCATTTTTGTGTTTTTGAAGGTCACCGATGCACAAATGGACACGATGATTTTTATGTGGTATGCACGCACATTTATCTTGCACTCAGAAGTACACGCGCGGAAACAGGGCGATAGGAAGCACTGACGCGAAAATCCTACCAGGAACCACCTACAATCAATACTTTATTGATGTATTTTAAACTCTGTCGCTTTCAGGGCCCATTTCATCATCATCACCACGATCATCATCAAAATCGAACTCCACGGTAATTAGGAGGATGTTGGCGAGCGTCAAGCACTAAATTAATTAAATTAACTCGAAATATGCAGTATTCTATCGTGTTAGGTAGAAGTTGCCCCGTAGAAATGCCTTAGCATTTAGCGTTAAATGTCACGTTTTGGCTCTATAATGAATCAAAACGGGTGCCTTTTTAAACGTAAAAAGCAATTCGTGAAAAGAAGCAGCACGACTAAAACTGTCACGTACCACCATCCACGCGAACTCTCTAAAAGGCAACAAAAAATATAGATTTTGCCAACAGACTGTCCAACAGGCGTCAAATCGAACCGTGAAAGGGGCAGACTATTCGCACATTTTCGGCCAACTGTTGACTTAGCTGTCTAGTGCACGACATCGATTTTTGCGTCAAACCAATCCCCGTTGTGAATAGTCGCTCCTCAACAGCTGATTGGTCGAGTCTAAGCCAATAGTAGCTTTGCTGGGAAAATGTCGTGTTGAGTGTCGATAAGAATGGACACTTCACCACCAAAAATTAAGCCCACGTGGGCTCCGATTCTACGTCGTGCAATCGACACGTGATTCTCATGAAACAGAGAAGCTCACGCGACAACACGCCTCACCATTCCCAAGAACACTCGTCGGTGATAATCGGTAGTAGTTTATAGCAGTCAATGATCAATGATAGTTGGGATGCGTCAAATGGTCTGCGAACGCACTCGCAGACAACAAAAAAATGCACATTGGGAGAGGGACAATGATGAGAAATGGCTTGTCACCAATTAAGTTAAAACAATGGCGGTTGTCTCGTTTATTTACAGTGTCAAGGAATATCGAGGTGCTGGCAAGAAATGCGATGAATAAAAGTAGAACGAACACGGTGAAGAAACGAGAGATTAGATAGACCCTGATCTTTTCGTCTAGAGTATGTGTTGGACGTTGGCCTCTCGCACGTCAAGCGAAGGAGAATTGCTGAGTTTGGTGGGCGCGGGGGGCTGGGGGGGAGAGGCAGCATATCGGAAATCTATAATTGGGAAGGAGGAATAAATTGTAGGTTAAACCGGGACATGGAGTTAAGCGTGACCAATGGGAGACGGTTTTAAAGGGCATAGCCACCTTGGCAATGTCGCAGAATGAGTTTTGGGCGTAACGAGATCGTTACAGCGTAGTGGGAGAAATTGCCCCGTAAACCAGACTGCCGCGTGCACGCTCTCGCGCGGAAAAAAAACAAAACACGCGCGCGAGAGCGCACACACGCACGCACGTGAAATGAGTCACCCAATGACAGGCGCCAGTGCAGGCGCGCGTGCACGAATGAATCACCTCGCGTCTGCATCGCTGGCGCAATGGGGAGGCACGCACGCACGCACGCGTTCGTGTGTGCACGCACCGCATTCGACATTGCACGTTGCATTGCGAGAGTGCGTGCGTGCGTGCGTGCACGCGTACGTTCAGAGGCGCATTTATCATGTGTGGAGGCAATTTCTCATGGACTGGACGCAGGTGGATTAACACGTAATTTATGGGTCCGGCGCTAGCAACGCAATAGAGGAAACACGGGTGTACACACACACACACACGCACAGGGCCCGTGGACAAGTAATTTGCGAGTGGATCGAGCCGGGGGGAACGGAGAAATCTGCATATTTAACATCCGCAAAATCCCGTGAATTGCATTGCCTACCACACCGGGTTATATGCAGTTAGAACACGGCGCACGTCGAAACACAGACAGGCAGGAGTTAAAAATTTTGGGTGTTTAACACCATGCCAACGGTTGCCAGGTAACCAAAAGGCAGCAACACTTAGAAAAGAGTAGAGAGAAAAGGAAACAGACGAGTCGGTGTGGACCTGGATTATGGACAGCAGCAAACGCACGCACATCTTCACACGCACGCATTCACAACTGACCAACACGACCATCGATAAAATCGTCCGGTTTAACAAAACCAGACAGACGGCAGCACGAGGGGTCGTTTTTTGTTCAATAGCCAATCAGCGTACTTTTGGGTAAAGTTAGTTCCCGGTTTGTTGGTTCCAGAGCAAAACAGCCACATTTTGATGAAAAAAAAGACGGCTAGAATCGGAGAATTAGGGCCAGTGTCGGTTTAAACGACCGGCTTGCCATTGGTCGATTATCCTGCAGCCAATCCACTCGTTTACATTTGAGGAGTGTGCAGCATGAAGGTATTTAAATGTAGACTGACGAACGGCAATCCACGGATTCGAGTTGGAGCTACAACTTTGACAGGACAAAAACGTTTCACCGTCAATCACGAACGTTAAACTGGTTCGTGAAGATTAACCCCGCAGTTGTAGAGGTGCCGTGACGTGAACAGACGTACACACACACACAGACACACACACACGTCCCCCTTGTGTTGGCTGCGATTTTTTTGCATGTGTTGTGTGGCGAAAATGATGCGTGCACGTGCGCGCGTCGCTCACACGTGAGCACGCGCGCACACACGCACGCACCACACAACGAACATTAGTCAAGGCGAGTCACGCGCGCACCCACGTTCTAATCCTTCCACTCCTGCAGACCTGCAAGGCTTCGGCGAGAAACTCCACAGACGACGGTGGTGATGATGATGATGATGGTGGTGGTGGTGATGGTGGTGGTACCGATCACGGACGCTTCTATGGCGCGTCGAGGACACAAAACAGGCGAACTTCCAAGAACTGATAATCTCGTTCCACTGAAGGGCATGCAACGAAGTTGTGATGCTTTCGAACGGAAAACGGCCTTCCACAAGACTCAAATAGACCAAACCCGGTGTAAAATGTGTCGACTACATCAGTTAAACCTATTTCCGATAACTGCTTAATATCGCATTCGATTGCCACAAAATCCTTCCCAAAAGTTTCCCAAAGTAGATGTCAATGATGAATAGTTGATCGAGATCGACGTCTCTGCATCTTCCGATCCCATTCCATTAATCGATAAAACCGGGGACCCTTCTGAACCCCCAAACTGGCACATTCCGTCAACAGATCTTCGTGTTCGTCAACATCACTGGTCCACCGTAAGGCACCACCACGGCAACATTTGGAAGGGTTTGGTGAAGTAGCAACAACGGACAAAAGTGGTAATCAAGGTAAATTCGCCCCTCCCAGTGTTTGTCCGGCAACACAGGCCAGACATTCGCGTCGACTAGAATGTCAGATTCACCAAAGGAAAAAAACGAGAGGAGAGAAGGAGGTGTCTGAGACGAGGAGGCGGGGCGAGACGCCCCAGGCCTCGTTAGAACAAGACAACTGCAACTGGGCGCGGGTGGGGAGAGGGGAAGGAGAGGGAGGAGAAGGGGAATTTTGACTGGCAAGGGGAACAGATGGTGTGCTTGTGTCTCCGTATTAACGAAAAATGAAATCAAAGAAGCGAATTAAGGTGGAGGAGGAGGTGGCTAAAAATGCGACGGTTGTTTACTCGTAGCCAACTGCAACCACCCAAATGCCATTGAAGTAAAAAAAACACGCCTACAGAAGGAACAATTTTTGTAGGAGTTTGGTCTAGTCAGCGATGGTTGGTTGTTCACAAGGTCACGCCGATTCGAGACCTTGGGATTGTGGAGAGGAAAGTGCACAACGACTACTCGCACGATAACAGCCTCCTCACTGATGATGTATTTGCATGAAACAAGAAATTCGCAACTTACTTAAAGGGATGTCACGGAGCGATAGTGTGACGGCGGTGGTGAGAGCTTAAAATGTCCGAATAAATGCAAAGTTAGGTTTCACGGGGTGTCGAGTTGGGGGCGGTTTCTACTGCAATTGGGCGTGTTCGAAGTAATTCATTGGCGGAGCATTGCCGGAGGCGGTGGCGCCGTGGTCACCTAGTTGCCAGTTTTGTGGCCAATTGAAGTTGCCCGGCTGGGTGGCTCCACCCTCGGTTGTGGCTCCAGACGGAGCTCCCCTTGACCAGCCCCCAGAACCGCCAATTTCTGCCATCATGAGTCGCTGCTGAGGCTGTTGGGGCTTGGCCGGAAGGAGCTGCTGCGGTTTCATTGTCGGTGGCGGCAGGACACGTCCCATACCCCCAGTTGGCCGCCTTGTTTGAGGCGACGCGGGCAGCGGACAGCGGCAGAGACGGGCGAAGAACACGTGCCAGGAGTGCAGGGTCTTCGAACTCCAAATCCAGATGCCACTGGTGATGCCCACAATCAGCGTCATGAGGTACTTGATCATGAAGAGCTCAAACGTGGGGTTGTCCAGCCGATCGAAGATGTCCGGTCCGCTGTCGGCAACACGCGACTCCAGGAGCTGGTGCAACTGGGCGATGCACTTAGTCGAACCGGCGACCTTGCGCAGGTCGAAGTTCCGACAGACCTCATTCGTGTACCACGTAAGCATCCACGCATCCATCTTCTGCGACTCGTAGATGTAACAGGCGATCACAACGGCCGCCGGCAGGAGGTACAGCAGACTGAATACCCCGATGCGGAAGATCAATTTCTCGAGGTCGTTGGTCTTGGAACCGCCGGTCTTGATGATGGTGCGGATTTTGAAGAGCGAGACAAAGCCCGCGACGAGGAAACAGATGCCCACGAGGAGACACAAGCAGAGAGGCGCGATCAGGAAGTAGCGCACGATCGTAGGATCAGTGAGTCCAGTGAAACAGACCCCGGACAAGGGATCGCCGTCTACTTTGCCCATGGCGAGGATGCAGATTGTCATGGCGGCTGGGATTGCCCACGCAGCGAAATGAAGGTACTGAGCGTTACGGAAGATGGCTTCATGAGCCCAGTGGCACCGCGCCGCTAGGTACCACGTGACGGTGAGCACCACCCACCAGATGTGACCGGCCATGGAGAAGAAGTAGAGCATCATGAAGAGGATGGTACAGCCCTCGAACTTTGTCCCCTGAGTAATGAGGAGAGGGTAGGAGTTGACTGAGGAGCTGGAACTCTTTCCGGGCAGAGAGGCGGCTAGGTTGGTGCCGATCGTATGATCAATATTGGGTGGTGGAAAGGGTCCGGCGCATGAGATCTACAAATCAAAACAACGCACTGAATCGCATTAGTAGCACTGTAGTTTGATAATAAGTCACTGCAACGGTCGATTAAACGAAGAATAAGTGCCAAAAGTACAGCTAATATTGAACATTTATGGCAAAAAAACGATTCGCAGGATGCTCATTTACATCTTAAGCAGAAGTGGGTATTGTTGGACATAATAAAGGTCACCAAAATGGCAATAACGAACCTTATCACCTAGAGATAATCCAGTGATATACGTGACAGCAACCATAAAATAGCACATGGAGAGGAAAATAATTGGCCGTTCCGGATATTGGAAGCGATTCATGTCAATGAAGAAGGTCAAAATGGTAAAAAGACTTGATGCAGCACAAAGTCCGCTCCACAGTCCAATCCAGAGGCGCGAAAATTTAATCCGTTTCGATTGGCTGAAGAAATGGCGATTGCATGGTATTCCACAGTTGGGTATCACTTGTTTGTTGTTCAAACGAATACGAAATTCAAAGCTAGAGGGCACCTAAAGAGGCAAGCGTTGGTTCGAAAGTACAAAACGTACTCGCATTTCCTCGGGGCATTCGAACGACGCTTCAACCGTTTCTTTGGTTTCAGGCTTGTCCTCGGAAACGCATAACCCATTTTCAGGGAAATTTTCACATTGCATACTCGCTGGCCACTAAACCAAGTTAAAACTAAACTGTTAAACGCTACCTGAAAGCTAAACGATCGCATGATTGGCTCACATCGTTGGCGATTTTGTTCACAAAGCGAACGGCATGGCGGCAGGGGCTTGTGTAACTGAGTGCACACGGGGAAGTAGAGGGAGCACAAGAACAACTTTAATGATGGACTGCATGGTATCTTAACAAGTGAGTTGTATTGAGTAACATCCTGGCCGGCCTCTTCTTGGGAAGTATGTCCCATGATATTGGGTAGAATAGTGTTATTGTAGGGTAGTCCCTGGCAGGCAGGAATACGAATAAGTTCACATTTTGACGTCTCCGCATACGGATTTTCAGGACCTCGCTGAATATCGACAGAGAATGACAACTGCGCCAGAAAAATAAGGAAAACCGACGAGGACACCATTACAAACCAAGAACAAGAGAACCGAATACGGCGAGGCGTTTGCCCTGGAACGATTTGTTAATTTAAACAAATGCTGTAGGTCGTCAACTACCCACTATTTATATACTTTATGCATTGTCAACTTGACATTGTACACTTTTATGTCAAAAAATACTTTTAGCAATAATATGCAGCGTTGTAAATAAAAAACTGTCAAATTTAAGGCTTTTCACAGGTAAGGTAAGTGTTTTAAAATAATTTGCTAAATAATTTGGCAATCTGTTGAGTTTTATTGTAGGTTAGCCTATTTGCCATGGTATTAGATAAAAAATAGTTTTATTGACTTTTATTATTGAGAAAGATAAGCCATACCTAATCCTGCAAATTTATTGGCAACAAGAACATGTTTAACGTTTTGTCACTGGTAAAAAGAATTTCCTGTAAATGGACAATGCCGAACTAAATGCACAAGAGCATGTGCCAGAGCCTGTCAGTTTTCCATATAATTACAAAATTGTTATTTCACTCTTTTACACCTGTTACAAGATGATTAATCAGATTACCTGGGAAATGTTGAAGTCTCCCAATCAACTTTTTGAAAAAAAATTTGCTTTAATTTTCTCGGTGAATCAAGGATTTCAGCATTTCTACCAATTCTTGATAAATAATTAGCAATTTTTTGGTCACGACACGCTGAAATTTTTTTCACGTTAAAATTCTAATATCAAAAGTTCTTTGCACGCATTGAAACCAAAAATAGTTTTACTTTTTTTCTAAATATAATTGCAAAGTCATTAAATTAAAGCGGATATTGTTACGGAGATGTTTTAAAATATTAATTTGTTTTCAAAATTCAACAAATATAGGTCTCTTGACAGAATACACTTTGTTATATTCTACGGTGGATATGATCGAATAAAAACAAATTCATATTTTAAAAATCACCATAATTTTGGACTTGGAATACAGAGTTAGGGGTTATTTTATTAGCACGTTACAAATAATAATATAACTCGCTAAATAATACGCCTGTAAACTCACGAACTGATCGAAGAATCTTCACGACAATGGGATGTATTGAACTCCAGACACGAAGCCTTCTCACTAAGGAGAAAAAAAGTCGATCGTTAAGCGGAAGGACCCTTCGTTTTAAACCATTTTTAATTTTTAACCGTTTTTTTAATTTTCCCTTAAGGTGTTTTTGTAAACATTTCAAACCAAAAGCCAATAGATTAGTGTTAAATTTTTATGTTAGTTGAAAGAGTACTGGGTACCAATATTGAGAAAGCAAATAATTTCATTCCCAAATGTGCTGACTGCCCACAAAATTTAAAAAAGCAGTTACAGTCGAACTGGCATAGAATACAGTATTTGTTTATCAAACTTATGAAAAATCCACATGTGATACACAAATATACTATGTTATTCGTCGAAGGAATTTACTTTCACACAAAAAACTCCAAATGCGAAGTCAAACTAATTTATTCTAAGTTATAAAACCAAGTTGCTTTACTCAAAATAGAGTTTCTCGATACAACATTCGAGTGCGTTATTAACCTTTTTTGGATTAAATTAGATTTTCCATGTCATTTTTCATGCAACATGCAATTAGTCAGATATAGGAAACACCTGATTTAATGATTTGTTAAAATTATTTGAGATCATGCATACATGCTGATATAAAGACTCGTTCTGGCAGAAATTGTGTCCGCGAAAGCATAGGTAAAATATATGTGTCTGGTACCCTATATTCGTCAAGAACGTCACCAGCAGGAGACACTTGATGCAAGATTTGACTTATACTTACAATTCAAATATTTATCAATGGTGAAATTTTACAACTATTGAATTTTTTCGGCACTTGCACCAACTATAGTAAGATTCTGTGCTTGGTAGTTTGTCCATTAGTTTAATTTTACGTTCGGATGCAATTTCTAAAGGGTTCACCTTCTAAAATGAAAAGGAGTATGTGCAAATCTCACTATGAATAATTCTTTTTTCTTGTTGTAAAAATTCACGTAAAAAAATAATACCGCATCTTTTTTGCTGTAATATAAATACAAGTATGGCAATGTTTAACTTCGACATGTAAGCAATTGCGTTTTTTTATGGTCATTTGAATAACAAAAGCATTAACCTTGACGCTGTCTTCAAATGCAACCAAATGTTATCTAGTGGCAGTATCTAACTTCGATTACACTATGACAGACAGTACCAGATTTAAGGACTGCAGTATTTGTAAGAATCACAATATGTATGCTCAAGATATGTGCTGCTTCTGTCTGGATTTGCAAATTTGCGGTAAGCGTTTTCTTATCACTAATGTCTAATTTAAAAACTCTAGATCACTCTATCCCCATTAAAAAAGAGACGTCAAGAAATTACTCTGATCAGTGGAAGAGTAAAAGGTCTAATGATCATGCATCCCCAAAAACACCGTTACCTCGTGCGATTCCTGTCAGATGTTGCAGACCTGTCATTGAAAGCAAGACTGTGACGGAAAAATTTAAGGACGGTCGTGTAAAATTTCGAATTGAAGAAGAGTACCTTGCTGAATTTTGCACATCTAAAAAGGATTGCGTTGACTTCATATACCCGGAGGATTCGTATCGCGAGAAGGCGTCTCTCCCAAAGTATTTACGAGTTGGCGACAAAGAAAATACATGTGTTAGTCAGGAAACCTACTACCCACCACCTGGGATTAAATATTTTCGCTAAATTTTTAAATTCAATTGCTACTTCAAGACTGATTCCTTCTTTTCGCAGGCACATTTTCGTTAAATCGATTTAGCATCTTTTTAAAGAATTGGAAGCTCGGCAAAAGCGATTACTTTAGTTAAATATTATTAATTCCACGGTGAAATGTTTAGTCTTGTTATTCATTTGTATTTCCGACATTGGATGCGTTTGTTGATTGCTTCAATGCAAACTTTTCAAAATACAGTCGGACTGGGAAAACTGCTTTGTAATGGTTAGAGGATATTTAGAATTTTCGACTTACAGCGACCATGATTTTCGTGTTTTAGTTTTTAGTAAAAAAAACCTTAGAACTAAAATTACTCTGTTCACCTCGTTTTTGTACACACTGAAAACAGTAAAATATTCGAGAATGGGAGGGATCCAACAGTCGAACAGGAGAAGACTGAATAGAAATATTTTGTATTTCATTTAGTTAATTTAACAGTAGGCTATTGCTACGAATAACAAATCTGTAAGTAGCATTAGTGCAGCAGGGCTCTGTGACATGACAACTGACCTACTCTTGCACTTCGCAAAGCGACAGCCAATTGAACAACAGTTTGCGGAACTGTCAGCAATTACAATGGCTGAGAGAGCAGCCTATGGTTCTATCAATCCTTTCACTAACTTTGCTTAATCCCACGCAATTGTCGTTCATGGGAATGCGTATTATTTTTCACAATTAAGTTTTGGTGCTTTAGTCTGGGGTTACACCAAAGTCAGAATTTAAGACATGCATACTTCAACGAGAATGAGTAATGTGTCTTGGTAGCTTAATTGACGTCAATATAAACAGTGCACTGGATATGTGGTTTGTGCCATCTGAAGTGAATTTAAGACATGGGTACTTCAAATAGAGTATCGACCTTGAAAAGTGAATGAGTAATGTGCCTTGCTAGCTAAATTGACGTCAACCTAAACAAGAGAATTTAAGACCTGGATACTTCAAAGATGGCCCTACATTTTTAGGAATGTAAGTCATTTGGTGCTAAGGACATGACACATCTTTCTTAGCCGGTTTATTTTAACACTGATTGGCGTCTCATCATGTTATTCATATAAACGCAAGAATTTTCAAGCTCTTTGGCAACCGGATTGACTGTTGGCGACAAAAAATGTTACTGATTAAAAAAACATCGACTGCACATTAATGATGTCAGTGAATTTGACGTGCTGTCATTTCTTGCGTGCTCTTCCCCAAGTTTTCCAAAAGCCACTCAAGTGAAAGTGCGAGGATACGGAGATTTTCACAATCAACACGATCAATGTTTCCGAGTTATGATTTGGGGTTTTGATGAACCAATCATTGAACTGGTTTGATTTTTATCGATTATTTTTGATTTATGATCTGATTAGGTTAATAAGTAGATAGTGGGTGCTAAATTCAGCGATCGATTCGAAACCAAATCTATTACGACATTTTTTGAAAAAGACGGCATTTTTAGTTAATAATGTAGCTTCCGTAAATCCCAGCTAGCTTTTTCTTCAAAGAATGTCACACGACCATCTTGTTCTTTGCAAGATCAAGGAGAAGCGATGGGTTTAAACGACATTTGATTGGCGTTGTCATGGTGACAGATAACGCCTTTTCGACTGACCAAAGTTGAGCTATTAGCTCGGATTTGGACAATGAGTTAAGTGGGGTATTAACGGTGATTTCCTGCAGTAAATTTTGGCCATTACAGTAGTTTCACCAAAATTCCTTGGATTCTGCTCTTTGGCTTCCACGCTTCAGCTTCGTCCAACGTCGTTATGCACCAGCTACCTCTCGCCTCTAGTTAATAGGTGGCCGTTTTGTTGACGAATGTGGAAACACGATCCAGTTTGGTCTGTTTCGCCAACACTCTATTGTGTCTCGCAGTGTGTTCAAGCTAAGTCAAAATGTGACTTCCATATTCACGAAATAATCTAACATTACAGCCGGTAGGTCGTCTGGATCGATGTTAATCATTCAGGGTTGAAGGTCAGTTGCACATTCGTTTACCACTTGTGTAGTTAACTCGAAAACATGGATCATTTTAAATGTGTCTCAATAATTTAATGTTCTAGAACAACGAATTTAGATAACTGCTAATAGAAAAAAATGTGATTATAAAGGAAGCATCATCTATACATTCAAATTGTGCACGAACTTCTGGTATCTACCAATAGATTTCGCCCACATTCAAGGTCACAGGGGCTTGCCTGACACATGTCCACGAAAGCTTGCGGTTACAATTACGGGGAATCAAATGTTAATTAAGGGCATAAGTTTTGATGGTTGTGTGATCTAAAAAGAGAAA